TGCCCACAGATGATTTTTGGCACCTGTCATAAAAAAAATTTACAGAAAAGCCTGCAAGAACAAAATGTCCTTACTAATAATAGGCCCTGAGACAGGTTTTCTAAAGTCCTCAACAGACCGTTTTGGTGGGTAGTTGATCGCAATATGAAATCCTCGTTATCGCAGACGTTTCTTTATGATAATAGGCGTCGCTAAAATAAATGGCTTCGGAACCAGGTCTGGCATCGCTCGGCAGATAGACCAGACAGGGTTTGCAGCCAGAATCTGATTAGCCTACGAAATCTGATTCATCCCACATGGGCAAGCCTGTTTTCCTCCAAAACTATTCATTTGGAACTGTCTATGTAACATATTCAGTACAGCACTACGTTTGACAGTGGCCTGGCCTTAGGTATAGGCCACGGGAGCTTTCTCTCTGTTGGAACTCTAAGGCGTAACAAGGAAGCAAGCTAAGAGACTCGTCTCGAACCTACAACGTCTGGAAATGATTTGACTGGGAGAACATCAGTCTTAATCAAACCGCCTTTAGTCCAAGAACAATGCTGTCTTTGTTGACAACGCGACGTTCCCCTAAATAATCGTAGGGACGACCTTGACTGCGAATTACTGTATTGATTCGCGACAACACAACCGACGACGTAGGCGACGGCTACGCCTACGTCGTTCGTGTCTCAGTCTATTCAACGTTTTCCCCCTATGCTTACACCTGGACCATGCAGCTGCTGATGGGAGCGATAAATGGTGCTGGTGGTGATGGCTCATGTCCGCCCTCTGCTACATCGGTAGCCGTTTGCTTCGTTTCCAGCACAGGTCGATTTTATGAGTTTAGGCTGCTGTTATTAGAAAGCAGGTCGTGTCCTCCAGGGCAAGTTCACCCTTAACGATCAATTGCTTTAGCAGCGGTACATCCTCCAGGCACGGCTAAGGCGCAATTGTTAGCCAGGTATTTTTGTAAAATAGATCTGAGTTGCCAAAGGCTATTGGTCCAAGTGGCTTCTCAGACAACCATTGTATTCGACTTTGATTGTGTTTTATTTCTCCTCCAAGGACTTGTAAAAGGACATTTCAGTGCCCCTTTGTCCCTAATTGGGCATCAAAACTTATACGCAAGACTTGTGAGACCGACTCTTCTTTTCACTCCTTCAACCGATCGCTCGAACTTGTTCTCAAATTATTCCTCTCGTAAAGAGAATGTTGATCCATTCTGTCTGCCCAGGGAAGGTTCTAAGACTATCTTTTGCGGTGGGCTTCAGACGAACTAAGTGATGCCCCCTTCACAAACGATTGTCAAGGGCCATCTGGGGTGGAACGAGTGCGTCGGAATCGTGACGTACTCAAACACACTCAATGCAACTAGATGACTAGTTGTTCTGCTGCTATGTCAGACAGTTTCGGTCAAATTTGGCGAGCCCTTGTCTGCGACTGTTTCGATATGAACTTTAAAGTTGTTTCCTCTTTTTTTCATAGATTCTCGAAATCATAAGATTTATAAATAACATTAAATTAATTAGGTCTCCAATCCTGTTTAACCCTTCTTCCAATCAAGTAGAGAACTTTCTGGTAATTTTTTTTTGCTTTGAGCATCAAATTTAAGAAGGCTTCAGTGCGGAATGTGAGGGATCCTCTGGTCGGTATAACTACGAATGCTTCACTGAGGCTCTTATTGGAATCGGAGGGGTTAAGTTGTGATGTAAATGCTCAAATCTGTTCATAGGGTAGTTCTCGTATTATCTCTCTATCCAACAGTCGGTTTGCTTGAGCACCTATACATTCAAGGCACGCTACAGCCCCAAGGGCTCATGAGCACAGCCTGAAGTGCGCGAACCTTATGTACTCGCAAAAAGGCGTTCACCATCTTTCAAACAAAAGTCTTGCGTTGTAAACGAATCCCAGTCAGAATCGCATTCCATATAATCATGTGTTGAGTTGCCTTTAAAGACAGAATGATTACTGTTCAACTCGATGTTTGCCCTTTGAGATGACCCTAGGAATCGAAGGACAACCCCAAAGGGCTGATAGCCTACCTGGCCTAGGTTAGGTCAAATGCATCAGCAACCAGAGTCTCATCCTGGCCGTGTCATCGTTTATTTCAATTCCCCAAACTCATTTGCAACCGCAAGACCTTTTTTCCTAAACACATTAGCCGTATTCCGTTAACGCGTTCTTCTTTTTTGGTACACTTGTAGCGTTGCAGGTTGTTGGGACGAATTTCCCCACATACTACCGGTTTGACTTTTTCAAGTTCCAGCTTTAATTTGTCGAAAACCGGTAGAAATAATCTTGTATGAAAGACGTCACTCAGATGGCTTTGCTGCGTTGGAAACCACTCTGGGCAAGGTTTTTGAAGGCGTGCAGACATTTGAGCATAGGGAAACATGCCATAGGGACGGTTAAGGCATAGTCGAGAAGTCGTGTAACTGTGGGAAGGTGGAGCTGCAGCAACGATCTGTTGTTGAACATAGTTCGGGATGACCTGTCGATTTGAGCAAACAGTGAAGCTTAAAGGTGAGAGGCCTGAAGTTCATGGCAGACAGACCAACAGCCTACAAGCAACGTCTTCTGTTATCACGCCTTCTTGTGGTTCCAAGTAGAAATCGAGTGCAGGGCACATTTCAGAAAAGTCTTGAGCAACTCCGCCAAATACATTTCTTGCTGGCCTTCCATTGGTTCAGGATTTAATGGATTTCGATAGCGGTGTTAGTATCTCCGAAAAGCTTGACGGTCATATCTATGGGGCTACTTTTTTCAACCTCTTGGCGCAGGTACTTAGCGTTCATCTTGAAGCCATTCTTTCAGCTTCCAATCACCCATTGTATGCATCCCGTGGAATCATGATCAGCTCTGGCTACGACAGTCAGCCTCAGGCCCTTCATCACCCACCAGCATATTCAATGACAATAGAAATCATCTCCGAACCACTCGTATTCTTCAAGACCCTTATCTTTTACATCTTTGTTCCTCTCAAAAGCAGCTATCATTATGCCAAGGACCGTTAAGATTCGAGTTTTCTGTACCTTGTGCGATCTGCCCGGATTTAGTGGCGGATGGAAGTCGGGCTCTCAGTCGGAGCCCCACTTTCTACGATTGAGGTACTTCCCTGTTTCACAGAACGAAGTTGGAGTTTCTCGCATAAGTTTTTAAGGTGCACTACGTGTCCCCTTCAGGAANAGGAATTGTTCTTCGCCCACCAATCAGTTCACAATAAATACATTGTTTACCATAAATGGTACAGCCGGTTTGCTCGTGGACACTGTCACTCCCCAGAAACAACCTCCATCGGAACAATTCATTCATTACTGATTTGTTAAGAAAAAACTGAGAAAAAGTTGCTTTTGAAGTGATTCCGGAACCTATCAAAATGATTTATTTTATGATTTTCATTCGAAACATCCTTCGTAAATTCGTTCAATTCATTTATTAATCCTTCCGTGAAGGCGCAGTTTGGGTTCCGCTTGTGGTAAATATCTATTATTTCTGTCATTTACCAGTAAATTTCCATCCATCTTCTGCAAAAACAACTGGCTGGCTGGCTAAGTGCAGCAAAATAACATGGAATCCACTGTAAATGCACTTTGTTCGGCATACGACGTTTTTTTGCATTTCTCAACTTTCCTTTCAAAACAACTCTATCAGTTCTTTGTAATTACTGTACCCCTTGAATGTTCTTCTTTCCTATTCCGATGAATCAGAGCAAAGCAGTTTTCAATTTGTCACATTGTTCCCGAATAGCAAGTTTTCTCCATGCAATAGACATCAGCACCAAACCTCGAAACCCTTTCAGTATAAATAAACATTTATGCAGTGAATGTCTGCAGTTACGGTCAAGTGGTAGGGCAAAGTTCAGTTGTTACCCACAGCGTCTTTTCGGAGTCTGACAATAAAATTAATTTGGGATTACCTCATCGAATGTGAAAGGTAGGTGGCCAATGTTGACAATGAAATCTAGCTTTCTTGTCAAAATCGAGGAACCAACCCACAGAGAAATGAAAATTTCCCATTCAAGCTTTACCCACTCGTTCCGCATAACCCAGAGTATATGCCCATGTAGAGCTCTCTCACAAATTTTAAGGTTGCCTTTTTCAGTAATGGTCCCCGCAATTGGTAAAAATTCGAGGAGCTCTACATGGGCATAAGTAATTCCTGTAGAAATATTTCAGAGGGGTATAGGCCTGGTCTTTAGTTCCCTTATCCACTGAACCGGATATCGTCGTTATACTACCATTAGAAGCGTCAGTGTTTTCTCTGTAGACACAGTGCCTTTAGTCACAGTGTTTCCATCAATTATGATCTAGCCTCCGCTTTTCTCCAGATGGAGCTACTCCCAAAGGGGCTAATCAGCTTCAGATCACATTGGGAACTCGTGTTAGGATCGGTCGCACGTCATGTTACCAGCTGAGGATCTCGATTTTGTGAAAAAGGCATGCATACCTTTAAACGTCTCTGAACAATTTGAGTCATACATTTTGAACGGACTGAGAAGCGTTCAATCATTGCTAAACAAGTCTTCATAAGCGCTACGCATTTAACTTCCTTAAAGAGTCATAATGACGCTTGTGTTTGGCCTACAGTGGTCTGATCGAATACACTTTGATGGCTTGCGAAGTGCAGCCGATCAGGCCCAGGTGCTCCTACTCATCATCTTCCCAGTCACTTGAAGATCCTCGCACAAATCATTTTATGCCTTCCAACCGTTGTCCTTGGCCTTTTGCTGACCCCTGTGTCACATGTCTTTCATGCATCAACAGCAGCAGATCCATACCTGTTTGACGAATTCAGGTATCTCTTCGTCGAGTGTGTTTTTCGAAAATGACGCGCCTGGCCCCTTCTGCGGCCTCTTCTGTTCAGTCGCTAATGATTAAACATCCCATCGACCGTCTTCGCCGAGCATGAGACCGCCTCTCCTCACAGCCACAATCATTTCGTGTTTCGATCAGTCGTCTTCTTTGTCGCCTTCCAATACCAATACCGTATCTGTTGAATGTCGTAGAGATTATTTTCAGATGACAAAATTAGGCGTTACGCCAGGTGTTCATGGCGACGGCAACGACGAGAAGGGCGGTGACGCTGTCGGAGATGCGGTGAAAGTGGATCCAAAAGTGAGTGGAACCCTTCCGGACTTTCCAGGTCCGGCGCTTTGGGTAGCAGAGTATCAATATATTGGACCAGAGGACTCTTCATTTAGCCCTTGATCCTCTGCACAGAGCCCCTTTGGTCCCTACTGATCAGGTTTTCAAATGCTTTGTTCTTTGGGAGGAAGGTTGCCTGAATAGAAGGCTAGGACCCTGTCTTTGACCTTGTCGGGAGTAAGACCACTGTCAAGCTCCAGCTGGGACAAAGGCGAACCGCAATAAAATTCCCGAGCCGATGAGCTTGGGTTTTCAGCATTGCTTCAAGTACTTACTCGCTTTTGTTTCTTTCCTTCTTCTTCTCCAAAGTCCCCTAACTAAGAAGCTGAGCATAGATAATTATAATATTACCGTAATGCAAGTGCAATTATGACAACATTTGCACTTTTCAGGTGTTCACCGTACTGCAGCCAACGGTGATTCCCATTCAGAGTCCACCGGCGGCAAAGTCCCGCCGCACTATCGGCGGTGCCATACTACGTGGCATTCTGCTGTTCCTTCTGTTCATCTCATGTTTCACCGCCGGCATGGTGCTCATCTATGGAGCTGACACAATCTTCAATGGAATTTATGGGGTGAGCGAATAACTCCCAGATGGAAAACCAATACTTGCAGCCATTGAAACCACTGAGTAGTATAAGATCAGTTGTGGTTGTCCGCAACGTCCGAAACTTAAAAAATTGTGAATTCATTCTAATGTATATTTGGGATCCCTTACGGGGATATGTCTTCCCACACTTACAGAACCTCGCCTCGTTAAGTTCGCGGCTTCTGTAGATGGGTAATGCCTATCAAAGACTGTACATTTACCATGTCACAAGAACAGCTGTGTTACTTGTAGCAGCCGTGGGAGACCTCTTAGTTCGATGGAACTGGTTTCGCTGACAAAGGGTTCTTTACCAAAAAAAAATCTCCATGTTACAGCGTTCATTCCAAGTTTTCTTACCCGTCTGAATCACTCCCAATAGAGTGCGATAGTCGTTCCCCACCGGGAGGAATGCAATGGTGTATGCAGACGATGTGCACCACTACCGTACAGTTAGCTACCGTAAACCGATTGGGTAGAAAGAAAACACTTAGACTGTTTGTAATAGTGACGTATGAAGGCAGAGAGGGTATAGTGGGGTGGAAACGGGCGCGGGCGGGCGGTTAGGTGGAACCTGTTCGAACAATGCCGACTGTCTTTGGTAGCGCCACTCCCTGGGCAACCCTCCCTCAGCAACAAACGCTTCGTTAGGGATGAGAGATGGGGAGATAACGAGAAACTCGAATTAGTTCTACAAAAATTTCATGGCATAGCTAGTGAGGGGAAGCCTTTTCAGAACAAATTTTACACGAAATGTTGGTATTGCTGGTTCAACATTAAACTCGAAGTGAAGTCACAGAAACTATGGTGTTTAGGCTATTAAGGATGATCAAAGCTCCGCTGCTACTACCGTAGCACCGGCAGAACAACTCGGCATGATAAATCCAATGGGTAATGACCAAAAGGACGAGAAGCCAGCTGCAGATGATGAGGTGGGCAAGAAACTTTGAAGTGGTGGTATGGTATAAAGATAATGGTAGACTCTGAACGAAAACTGATTCGTCAAATCTATTCAGAAGCTTTGAGCTCCTCCTTCTACAGCAACGACCTCGACGACTCTTATTAGAGAATGATTGTTAAGTAGCAAACTAGTGAGAATGAGCAACAATTGCTGTTCGGGTCAATTATCACTTTTTCGCTCCTATCCTAGGGCCACTACTCGGCTACGCGGCCATTTCCGAGATTATGCTCTTGTAGAACTAAGCCCAATGGTTGAGTAATGTAATTAACCGCACTGGTTAGAAAAGTGTTTTCGAAGTCATCGAATGATCATCAGCCTCATTGCAGATGAAAGTCTTTTTCAACACAATCCCTCTGGCTAAAGTGATGGTGATCGAAGGTGGAAATGCCCCGAACGCAAACTTTCAGCGAAGGGAGATGATCGAGAGACCCATGCATCCATACGAGCAACAGGAGGTACGGTTATCCAGTCGTAGCAATGAATTATGCGTATTCGGTTACCAGAGCGAAGTTACTGCTTCCCAGAGTCTTCTTGGCGTTACTGATGAAGGAGTTGAACATTAAGGGATCGGGGGTTCATACATTAGGCAAGAATCCTAAAATTAGGATAAACAGATAGGCACTGCCTTCTGAAAATAAAATTGAGACGTTCAGCTGGAGAAAACTCACCCTTAGGAATAAGTAATGAGCCCTAGACATCGAATAAAATGAAATGTCAAGCGATGTAACATTGGAACACCGAACCTGTGTGAGATATTGACTGTGTGGATAAAATATCCAACAGAAATGATTTTTGTTTCAGGCTCCTTTTAATGCTTACAATAATCGGCAGATGGTCGCTCAACCAGTATGGGTTCTACAAGCCAGACAAATGGAGCAAGCTCAGGTTGGGACGAGTTTTCATCAATGACTAGCCAGTCCTCATTTGATATAAATCTAAATGTTGCAGGCTATGCGTCAGATGAGATGGCGTCGTCTACAACAAGCTATCTATGAACAACAAATGATGAGGGAGGCAATGGCGAGGGCGGAATGGGCACAGGTAAGGCAACTTCAGCAGGTCTGCCATGACCCCTCTCTTAAACATATTCAAGCACCTATGCAGAGAGCTCCCTAATGGGTAAGCCTGAGTCGCGTGGTCTAGCGGGAGGAGTGAATTAGTCCAATTCAATAAAAATGTGACAAATAGCTTTAAAGGCATATACGAGTCTATTTTTTAAAAAATCGTAGTACCTGCCTCCTTTTCTCATCTCCGTCCTTTTGAGATCGTACTCCAGAGTAGGGAAGTGAGTGGGGGCCATTCAGGGAAAGCCTTTTTTTGCGACATCATTTATTTATTTATATAAATTGCACTCTTGGTGCTCCCAAACAAATCAGAAAAGTGTTAGTCGGTCGAACACGAGGACGTCATGCTTGATCTTGGTTTTATCGCCTATGCCTGAAGTCCCTATGGCTTGGGAATATCAGAAATTTTATTCATACAACAAGCTGATACTTCGTAGTCAATGCTTCAGGCAGAGCAAGCACAGCAGCAAGCAGCACAACAACAAGCAGCCATGGAAGAGCAGATGGCACGTGCTGTTGCTCAGGCTCGTTGGGAACAGATGCAACGAGCTCGTGCCATGGAGGAATACCAAGCCGAAGTGCAACGAGCTCGTGCCATGGAGGAATACCAGGCTGAAGTGCAACGAGCCCAATGGGCTCAAGCGCAACGAGCTAACTGGGAACGCATTCAGATGCTGCAACTGCAGCAACAGCAACAACAACAACAGCGGCAGCAACAACAACAGCAACAACAACAACAACAGTGGTGGGCACGTCATCAACAGCAACAACAACAACAGGTGACTTAGATTACAACGGTCGCTACAACCCCTTTTAACGACCCTTTAGTTTTATTCCTGCCCATATCTGAAATGTCTTTCTCGGATCTGAACGGCAGGTGATCGGGACTAAGCTCCTTCTAGAGCTAACAAATATAAAAATATGTATGTTTACAATCCCAGCAAGTCCTAGTGCATAGCCATTCGGAAAAATATCCATTTTCAAGAAAGCCCTGTAGCAGTATTATCGCTAGGGGGCGTCTACCTTTGGAAGTAGTAGTTTTCTGGATTTAAATTTACAAAAAACTACTTTGAGTAGAAGGAGATACTGAGTCTCAGATATACATAAATATATACCCATAGAGCGGGGAAAGAGGAAAGACCTGGCAGTTCCGAAGATTCCTGTATCTGATCTTTTTTCAGCAAAACTTCCAGCGTCCTCACTACACTGAACAGTTCTTCTACTATCCATTCCAACTGCCTCAGCAACACCAGCAACAGTTCTTCCAGCAGCAACAACAACAGCAACAACAACAACAACAACAACAACAACAACAGCAACCACAGCAACAGCAACAGTTCTTCCAAAACCAGGTACTATTCACCTTGGAAAACGCTTTGAAAACTGATTGTAATGGAAAAATATTTGAGCGCAACTCAAAGATAGTCTTCGCATGCGATTGCGATTCGAATTATTTTGATTATCTGACTTTCTGGGAAGTTTCTAGCTCCAGACATTTATCGGCAAATCTCCGATCTTTTGTTTCCCCAATGTTTCATTCTTGCACTGGGAGCTTTGGAAGGTAGCATGGGA